GCACAAACTCAATTTAACACAAGCATCAACTGTATTCCTATGGGGGAGGAGAATATACATCTAAAAACTTACACCAATAACTCACCTCCCATAATATTCTTCACCAATTCAGTTGCCCCTATACACCTCAACAAAATGAGGTGGCCAAGCACAAGCATAGACACTTGATTGAAACCACGAACCCTCCTCACAGCTCACCTACCTTCGAAGTTTCAGAAAACAACTATAATGGCATCCACCTACCTAATCAATAGATTTTCATCCAAGAACACAAACCTCAAATCTCCTTAAGAACTTCTCTATCAGACTCCACCCAACTATACTCACATTCGCAACATCAGATGTCTATGCTTTCCCTAGGAAAAGCCGCAAGCTCCGCATAAACTCACACCATTGTCCCCACCATTTATCTTCTTTGGTTACTCACAATCTCAAAAAGGCCATTACTATTATAATCTCCAAACACATAAAATCATCATATCCATGAACACGCTCTTTAACGAATCAACAATTTCTTAACATACCCAACCAACCACAATTCCCATCTCCCAAACATATACACCATCCAACCTACTTACACCCACTCATCTACCATCAATAACATCAGATCCTCTCTCACAACCTCAACCCAGTCAACCTTCTATATCCTCAACTACACCAACACAATTGTCTCACACCATAACATCCCTTCCAAGTCATCAACCCACCACAACTATCAAGCATCCCATGATAACTCAATCCCAAATAGGGTCCCTAAAACCAAAACAAACACTCAACCTACACACATCCACTTCGGTGCCCTCAGATCCTACCTGCTATAGACGGACAGTAAAATAGCCACACTGGCAAAAGGCCATGTCTTCAAAATTTGAAGCACTTCAGCATCAAGGGACATGGATCCTAGTTCAGCCACCACATCAACAAAATATCAGTGGCTGCAAATGGACAAATTGAACCAAATATAATCCTGATGGAACCGTGGCTAAATACAATTCGAGATTGGTCACACATGACTTTAAGTAACACAAAGGAACTCAATGTATTGAAACTTTCAACCCATTAGCTAAATTGCCCAATATTTGAATCCTCCTCTCAACTGCCCTTCACCGTTAATAGACAATTCAACAACTGGATGTCTCTAACACCTTCATCTACGACTCCTTCTACGAAATCATCTACATGCACCAACCTCAAAATTTCCAAGACCCCCAATATCCAAACCGGGCAAGCCTACTCAAAAAGACCCTCTATGGCCTTCAACAAGCATCAAGGAAATGGAATCGTACTCTCATCAATCATCTCAAAGCCAAAAGGGTTTAATCTAAGCATAGTCGATTGTTCTGTCCTCATATATCATCACAACAAGCTCATCATTTATTTTCTTGTGTATGTCAGGTAACAATCCAAACGCCATTGCTAGCCCAATACAAAATCTAAAATCTGAATTTCAACTCAAGGTATTAGGGCCTGTCAAAATGTTCCTTGGCATCACCATAAAACAAACTTCACGTCTATCATCTTAATCAATCATCCTACATTACATCACTCCTAAAACAACTTGAAATGTCTTCATGCAAACCTACACACCAATCTTCCCCACAAGATGAACCCCAAACAAGCATCACTCCAAGAGTATTCTAAAATGACAAAATACAGACAACTAGCTGGCTCTCTCTAGCTCCTCAATATAACCAGACCAAAGATTGCCTTCGCCATAAATTACATTTGCCAGAATATGCATTACCCCCTCCTATATAACTTCCAGCTAATCAAGCGTCTCATAAGATACCTTAAATGGACTCTTCACTTCAGTCCTCCCATCATTAATGGTGATCTCCAACTTCATACTACTCTGCTCAGATTGGGCCGACAATTCACAGAACATGCACTCAACCACTGGATTATGCACATTCTTCGGCAATAACCTTATATCCTCGAGAACTGCAAAGCAAAAAATGGTGGCCCACTCCTCCACAAAAGCTAAGCATGGAGCACTGGCAGCTGCTACCACAAACATCATATGGATCGACAAACTACTTCAAGGATTTCACGTCTACAAAACCACTACTCATAAACTTTGCTGCGACAATACTTCTGCCATCACCATAACTCTCAATCCCATCTTCCATGCCCGCACGAAACACCTTGAAATTAATTATCATTTCATCTATGATCACATACAATCACATGCATTCAAATACTGCACATCAACTCAACAAACCAAATGACAGACATCATCACAAAAAGTCATAGAACACCTCAATTCAACAGTTTTCGTTACAAGTTTACCATCACTTCACCTGGCTGTAAGCTTGAGGGGGGATAACGAACCTATTACAGCTAGGCACCACATGGCTCATTCCCCACCTGTCTACCGATAAATAACTCTGGCACTAGGGCCACTTTATCCCTCTAGAAACATCCTTAAAGTTCATAGCTCAATTCATGTAAGGAATGTGTTTTAATCAGCAGCAAAAATCATCCTATAGATGAAACCATAGAAGATTCACTGATTTCCCATATGATTACCCATAGAAACTTGATAAGAGTATATTAATAAACATATGAATTAATATTCCAAAATCACCATACAAATATTATGCAGTGAAATGAACTTTAAATAAAAAGTTAAAAATAGAATTGACTTTGCTAAATGGTAAAGAAGGCTAGTTCGTAAATATACATGGACATCCTTTATAGCGAGAAAGTTCTCACACATTGTAATTGTTTGCAAGGTGAACATAACGATAGTTATTAATATCTCATCAACTAAAATTATATATCACATCTTCAATCATTCTTGTACTAATCCCAAGCCCTTTAACTTCCATATAATATTTTCATTATTCTATATTTAAGATTGTGATGCCAATCAAAATAAAAATGAGAACCAATCAACAATCAGCATGTTTAAATGTTAAAGCAAGCATGGAACTATAAAAATTGAAACTAAAGCTTTCGCTCAAATCAACTCAATCCAAATTCTCTAACCTTCCTGAAATTGTATCAAACACCCATTGCATGAAGTCAGTGTTAAATTTTGAAATTGTATCAAACACCCATTGCATGAAGTCAGTCTTAAATTTTTTTTTTTTTTTAAAGGTTTAATGATAATGAACGGCGATTCCAATTGTTATTAAATCTAATTTCTAAAATGTCATCATGCAATGCTCACATTCAGTTTGCTTCCTGCAGTTAATCGGTTAATTTGATTGTAAAGGAAAGCAGAAAGAGTGAAGGATTAGTGTTAAAATTAACTTCAACTAAAGCCAAAGACTTTGAAAGCAGTTAAACATAATTTTGATTGATGGAATCTAACACAGATTATAAAAAAAAGGTTGAATTAAATTTCCATCCCAAGCAAGTTAAGGAATTAGTATTGCCTCCGAAGAACTACAACACATACAAGAAATATATACACTTAATAAATTTGCTAATTTATTCCCAGTACTTTCATGTTCACTTACTATAAAACAGGCAGGTACTTCCTACATAATACTAACAAATTCAGAATAAAGAGAAACATAAAAGGAGTTGATTTTGCTGAGTGGGATCACAAGGTATACGCTCTTGTTTGAATAACACATTTGATTGCAACATCATTATGCTTGTATCGAGACCATCTCATTTGCATTGTGTCAAAATGCTTCACCATCATCATAAACAAAGAATCAAATGAATACTTCTATTTCTTTCTCGTTCCATTTATCCTTCTTTCATGTCTTCTATTTCTCTTATTTTATTCACTTTTTCAAGCCTAAAACATCTATTTCTTATTCCCACTAAAAATAGTTAATTCTCTTAAGACAAAGCACACTAAAACTACCTCTTTTTTCTAGTTTGTTGCCAAGTGCTCCAAAGTATAAATTACATTTCTTGAAAAAACTATGCCAACAACCCATTGCATGAAAGCAAGCCACCAAGGGTCACAAAAGTACGAAGAAAGATCACTATCATGGTTCCTCGTAATTCCCTTTTAAGTCCCCTATATAAAGAAAGAGGCGAAAATTTTGAAAAGAGATTAAGATCTAATTTAAATCTTATCCATAAAATTATAGCTTGTAACATAATGAACCTATAATTATCTAAGAATATATTTAAGATAGATAAAAAATTAAAACATGGATCAATGTATTTTTACCGATAAAATCACCTATATTGATTTTTGACCTTTTTATTGGGAAAGTTTTGAGCTTCACCAATTCAAGTTTTCCTATAATCAAATGTGCTTCAAGTAATGTTCATATCTTCTTTATCAAGGGGTTGTTTGGTTCGGATACATCTACAGTTTTGTTATTTAATGATGTTAATTGTTCAGTTCCCTATCATCTTCAAGTAACACTTTAAAAATGTCAATCATGCTCAATTTTTACTGACATTAGATGTCAGCAGAATTAATTATAAATTACTTTTTGGCATCTGAAAGTCTTATTGCTTTATTTTAATGTTGATAGTATTGACATCTCAATATAAAGTATTGAAACAAACGCAAAGCATTTAGCAAAGTACACTTACATCTCAATAAAATTGAACCACACAGCCCCTAAAACTTATACAAGTTATCCATTAGGTGACATGAACAGGGGTTATGCTGCAATTAAATCATGTTAAACTTACAAAAAGTATGAATTTGATTAATCTCAATTTCTATTCATCTCCTTATTCATAAGAACTCAACAAACTGTGGATCTAGTTTCATAAATAAACTCAGAAAATAAGGTTATAGGCCAAGAAAGTAGATCAAAGAAGATAGAACATAATAACAACAATGACATAAAACTTGCTCCATTATCAAGACGATCAAAGCACCACTACCAATAAACCAATCAACTAAAACATAGTTAACCTAGAAATCAGAAAAAGATAAAAAAAACGATTTTCCTCATAATCCAGCTCGTACAATTCCCTCCACCCACCAAAAATCAAATAAATCACGCCGCTCAAATGAGCAAACAAGCAAGGCAAACAACAATCAAATCAATAGAAACCAATTGGCTTACCATAATGAGAAAACAATCACCCCTTAGCGGTTGATGCGATGATGGGGATGCCAGCGCCTTGCAGCTTGGTCTGGCCGGCCTTTTTCCGGCGCTCCTCTAGCTCTCGGATCTTCTGCATCTGCAGCATCCGCTCCATGACGAGCTCGTACTCGCATTTCTCGTAGGCGTGTCGCTCCACCTCACACTTCCATGGGAGGTAGAACTCCTTCACCCGGCATCTGTTGAGCGGGATCAGAAGGTGTGCACACTGGTCCCGGTACGGTATCGGAACCCTCTCCTCCACCATCTCCGCCTGTGTGGCAATCATAGGCTTTGAAGAACCTAGCTTCACCTCCTCCTCCATAATCTCCTCTCGATCTCGCCCCTCGATGAGTTTTTCTGCGACTAGGGCTGTGAATTTAGCTCCAATGCTCGAAAATTAATTTGAACTC